TCCTGTTTATGCTTAAAACAAATAAAAACACTAGAAGGTTCTTTGATGCTGTGAAATGAAACAAAAACCTCAATGCTTATCAATAAATTATTTACATGAATACAATTAAATAATATAGCCATTATAAAAAATGAAATGTTGGGCCGGGGATTTAGCTCAGTGGTTCTGCCACCTGCCTCACAAGCGCAAGGACCTGAGTTCAATCCCCGGCACCAAAAAAAAAACCCAAAAAACAAAAAATGAAATGTCTTTGTATGTAAGGATTTGGAAACATCAAGACAACGGCTTTAAAATTTACAAAGCAGGGAAATAGATTCATAAAGTAAATTTTCTATTTTTATGCCATTACATAAAAATCAGATACAGCTAATTTATAGATTGAAGCATTAAACTTAAAAAGAAAAGGTGGCTCTGGACAATTATACAACAGACATACTACAGTGTCTACATTGGGTCTTCCCTTCACGATAAGGGAAAATAAATTTATCCCTTTAGGATAAGCCAAAAAAAATCTTAAAAACACCTAAGGTCAAAATTATTAACAAACTGGACATTAAATATGGAATTTCTAGGGCTGGGGATTTAGCTTGGTGCTGCTGCCTGCTTTGCAAGCACCAAGGTCCAGAGTTTGATCCCTGGTACCAAAAAAAAAAAATCAACTCCTAAATGTGGAATTTCTATTCACCACAGGGCACCAGTAGTATTCAAGTAAAAAGGCAAGATATTCTCATATAAAACCAACAAAGAACTTATATGAAGACTATATGAAAAGGACCTCAAAAAAATTAGAAAAGGATTGGAAACTCAGTAATGAATAGTCAAAGCTGGGAGTAATATCAAAAAAGGATATCCAAATGGCTTATAAATGGAAAAACTTTCTCAATCACTAATAATCAAAAAAACCAAACTAATTCAAAATGGCCTCCAGTACATACCCACCACAACAGCTAAAATTAAAAACCTAGAAGGAACCAAGTGTCAGGGAGTCTGTCGAGTATGTAGAACATTCACAGTCTGTTGCTGGGGGTATAAATGGATACGGTCACTCAAAAAAATTAGAACCACAGGCATAGCATAGTTATAAATTCCAGAGAAATGCAAAGAAGAAAAAAATGAAACAAACATACGAATATATTCATAGCATTCTTAGTCACAAGAGTCCCAATATGAAAACAACATTAGGCCAGTAGTTGGGATAACCTCTGACATATGTGGACAGTAGAATGCTGCGTAGCAATAAACATAACCATCAATACATGCAATGGCATGGAAGAATTCTCAGGAACAATGTTGAGTCAAAAGGGACACACTCAAAAGCATGCAAAAATTGTATGATTTCATTTAGGTAAAGTCCAAAAAAGGATAAAGTATAGTAATCTATGATTTAGAAGGCAGATACTGGTTAACTGCCTAAATCTCATCATTTTATGTTTAGTATTCACTTTAGTGTTTCTATTGTTTTCCTTTTTTATGTTTTTTTGCTAGGCTAATGAAATTATTATTTATCCCTAGTTCTATGCTACTTTTTATGCCTCCCTCCAGAATACCAGGCCTTCTAATATCGTTTCCTCACTCTCTGATCCCTTACTCTTTCCTACTCTCTCAGTATTTGCCAGGATGAAATATGTACTCAGAATGTTTTACCTGTCACTATGTACCACCACATGTTATCACAACAGTTTATTTCTAGATTTTGCATTGTCATATCTCTTCTATCTCAATGACCCTTTTTAGTTATCTTGTTCTCATTATTGTGTATCCTTTGGACAAGCTTTCATTGGACACTGCATACCTCTTATTGTAGCAGTAGACACTTGTACAGGATATCTGAGGCTCACCTAGTATTTTGCATTTTCCCTGCTTTAGATATAAAATGAGTTTCTTGAAGAAGTGTTCTGTTCTAATGGGAAACAATATTCAGAATGCTTAGTTGTCTCGTGTGTGTGTGTGTGTGTGTGTGTGTGTGGTAACTGCCCCTTAGGGCAGGGCCTTTGCAATAAGCTATATTCACAGCTCTTTATTTTCTTATTTTGAGACAGAATCTTGCTATATTCCTAATTTGTCCAAGCTAGGCTTGAATTTCCTCCTGCCTCAGCCTCAAAGTAGTACTAGGATTGCACTACCACACACTTAACATTTTTATATTTTTCTGCTATCTGTTACTTGAATCTCAATAGCAATGCTCTTCTTTCTCACTTCATTTAACTTTTTAATCTTTTTATTACCATATATTAGTAGAGAAATCATGTCAGTTCATATTTAAAGACTTCTGATATATGGATCCTTCTGTTGACTGAGGTTTTATTTGCTCTTTGTTCTCTAAGCACTTGAGAACTACATGTCCAATCATATTTAATACTATATTTTCTCTAATTAAATGCAGTATCTATTTTTCAACTGCAAGCATATGCTACTTCCAGCACTCTTGGAAGCTGAAGCAGAAGGATTGAAAGTTTGAGCCCAGACCAGGCAACCTAGTGAGACCTGGATTTGAGGTAAGGATTTTTTTCTTCTTTTTTGGTACTGGGGATCGAACTCAGGACCTTGCACTTGCAAGACAGGCGCCAGAACCACTGAGCTAAATGCCTGGCCCAAGGTAAGGAATTTTTTAAAAAGGGTTGGGGATGAAGCCCAGTGCAAAGGCAGATTCCTCCCACAAAGCCACTTGGTCTTGGTGCTTCAGGCTGGGCGCGCGTCCAGGCTACATGGGGTGGGCGCCTCTCGCCCTGGTGCCACACACCTCCCTTTCTTTATCTGTAGCTTTTTTTTTTAAAGACTTTTGAATGTTCAATAATTTTGTAAATCATACTCTTTACACAAAGTACCACTTATTTAACAAGACAGGATGTAAACTTACAGTGACAAATGTGTATTTTAAAAAAGAAAATGACATTATTTTGAATGGTACTTTGTGCAGAGGGGAGGAAAATCCATTTATGCTGTGTGGACCACTTGCAGACCACCAAAAACACTTCGCCGGTGGCGCCAGGCAGGCGCTGCCACTCACCCTCCCACAGACATGCCTCTCAGCGAAGTTTTTATTGTACAAAGTGTATTCATTTGCTTTATAAAGAAAAATAAATTTGCAAAGGTATATTCACATGCATTTTTATACAGGCACATAACAACTCGACTTGGTTTGGGAGCACAATGTGTGGTGTGGTTCTATAAATGACTCTGGCCTGTGTGTACTTTGATTTTGTTAACTTGTAATCTTTTGTTTACAATGAGGGCCTTTCTATAACTTCTTTTAATTTAGAACTTTGGTAGCAATAGAACTTTGGATACATTTTTGTATAGTACATGTGATGTACATAGAATTAATACTTTATTTTTATTTTTAAGTGGTAAAGCATTATGTTAGAGGGTAAAAGTAGGGTGGGTTTCCAAATTTGCACTTTTTATATTAAAAATAAAGTCAATAAAAAAACTTTCCCATATTCCCCACCTCCAAAACTGCACAAAGGACTCTATTATATAAATTCGGTTTACAGAATTATTTTCTTAAAAACATACTTTGTCTTCTCATAACCCAGAGGCTGGGGCATGAGAATTCTCAAATTTGAGGCCTGCCTGGGCTACATGCAAATTGACAGCAGGCCTGGACTATGTGAGAGCCTGTCTCAAAGAAATTTATCCTCCCAAAAACACTTTTAGGGTTGGGGCTCAGCTGTTCCTTGTCTACCTGGCAAGCACAAGGTCCTGAGTTGGATCCCCAGTACAGGGGCGGGGGGACACGACGTTTGAACTCTTTAATGCCAACTAAATATATTTCAGAAAGATTCAGTTGTTTTGATTTTTCTTTAGAACTTAACTAATAATTTTTCATAGAAACTGCACATAACCTCTGCAACTGTCTTTTTTGGGGAAGGAGATTTTGCAAGTAGCCAATCTGAGAGCATTATTCAATTCTCCTTGCTGCTGATTGGCTAATGCCTTGTAATCCATCTCTGGCACATGCACCAGCATTCCAGCAATGTAGCAGGTTGCAGTGCTTCCAGCAGCTATCTGGAGTTTTCCCAGTCTTGTTCTTCTTAAAGCCCTGAGATCTTAAGATGCCAGCAAAATGCCCTGCATCTTTTAAGGCTTTATTTATTAATACAGTATTTTATTAAATTCCATAACTGCAGGAAACACAGCACATTTAAACTATAAAAACAAGCATTTTTATGACCATACCTGCATTCGCAGTTTTTCACAATTTGATAGTGTTCTAGGAATGTATTAGGGGGTCCACTGTATACCACATTAAAATAAATTCTTCGAAGTTTTACTAACAAAACATTTAATATATGGATTGTATTTATTTTTACAAAACGTAAATACTGTTATTTCATTAGTCCTCAGACATATGTTTTCATACATGAAAGCAAAATACAGCTTACCTCTGATAGTTTACAGTCAATAATATTACAATAAAATAAACAGCAAATTAAAAAGGAAAATCAAATGACTGGCAAATAATTTGTGGAGACTGCAAGTAGCAGTGTTAAGAGGTATGTACTGAATCTTGGTTCTCCAGAAACTAAGCATGGATAAAGAAAAAAGAATTACAGTTTTTAGAGTAATCTGAGCTCTTTGATAAGGAATTATGATCATCTAGGAGAGAAGTTCACCGAGTCATATTTAGAGCAGGTCACTCTAAAATCCTGTAATTGTCAATGTAGGTTAACCAATAATGTATGGGCCTGAAATTTAAAAACTAGATATAGGGGCAACCCACTTTCTGGTCCCTCTTCTGTCTCTCTTAGACAGAACCTATCTTTCTCTCAAATTCTTCTTACTCTTAACAAAAAACTAAAAATAAAACTAAAAAAATAAAAACTAGATATACTAAAAAAAAACTAGATATATTAACTACAAAGTATTTTTGCAAAATGTTTGAAGTTACTTTTCATAACTTCTGCATGCTTCCTAAGTAATCTAGAAGATTGTTATTTACAGTTGTATGCTTTTAGGTACAATCAGTTAGCCAATTAAAGTGACTGTTTATATCTTACCACAGCAAGTTGTGTCCTTGAAGCAACAGTGTGAAAAACTGCAGGCATCATAAGAGATTCTTCAACTTTTATTTCCATGTCATTTTCTGTTGAAAATGTAGTTTTAGGAATAGCAGGCGCACGATCACATAAGATCATTTCTTTGTTAAATAGAAAAATTGGATTTGTGTCCTGTATTAACAAAAAAAGCAGAAATAATTGAAGGTAAAATGTTACAAATACTGAACACGCATATTTCCCTGAATAAATGAAGCAGATCAGCCTTAGTTCTGAACACAGAGTCCCAGGCCCCTCTCCGTGGTGAAAGGCCCTTAGGATAAAAGGACCTAGGTCCTCGTGTACCTACCGTCCCAGCGCTATAGGTGCACACTCTTCGATCTGCAGACATGCATTCTCCTCCATTGACCACCAGCACCTGATGCTGAATAGCAATCTTGTATTTGCTTTGAATGGCATGTTTAAGGTCTGCCACACTTCCAGAAGAAAACAAAAATCAGTTACTTACTACATTTGCTCAAAGTAGTGCTTCCTAAAAAATACCCAATGGAGCTGAGCGTGGTGGTGCACACCTGCCATCACAGCAGTTGGGAGGCTGAGGCAAGAGGATCGCCATGAGTTCAAAGTCAGCCTGGGCTACATACTGAGTTCAGGGCCAGCCTGAACTACAAAGGGGGGCCCTGCCTTAAAAAAAAGGGCTGGAGATTTAGCTCAGTGGGTCCTCCACCTGCCGCACAAGCACAAGGTCCTGAGTTCAATCCCCGGTACCACAAAAAAAAACAACCAATGGACTAATAAATCTCACTCTTAAAACTTTCCCAAAAAATTAGTCAGAAAAAAAGGTTTCCTATTCCTTCAGCTAGATTCCCCATTTGTTACATGTAAAATTGCATATAAACAGGCAGTGTACAACTAACTGAAATTCCTGTAATTGCAGCGCTTGGGAGGCGGAGGCAAGAGGGTAGCCGCCAAGTTCAAAGCTAGCCTGAGCCACATAGTAAGTTCAAGGCCAGGCTAGACTACATAGTGAGACCCTATTTAAAAAAAATAAAAATGAGTCTATGAAACACTGGCAATCTATATAATGTTTAAACAAAGGAATATGCTTAAATGGGCATCAAGTCTATTAAAATTCCCACAAACCCAAAATTTATGTTAAAATCTTCACATCACATTACAGAAACTACATTAAGTCTCAACCCGTGAAAATTCTTTCTTTTACTATCTTTCAAAAAGATTATCCTCTAGAGGTATAATGCATTTAGTGAAAACTAGTCTTTTCTAAAAATAAAATAATCCCTTATTATCATTTTTCAAACAAAGATTAATGATTAAATAAATTATAACAATTTTAGTACCAACCAGTCATGGTGATTCAGTCTGCAGTCTCAACTACTTGGGAGGCTGGGGCAGGAGGCTATTGCTTGAACTCAGGGGTTCCATCCAGCCCAGCATTGGCAACAAAGCGAGGGCAATTAAAAGAACCCCAAACAAGCAAAAAACACCTACTTCTATTTTTTCCTTCTTGTTTAGCCTCAAAATATATTCTCCCTGACTCAAGCACTCTCCCCAATTTTCACAAGTGTAGAGGCCATTCACCAGTCAAGTATAGTAGCTGAAACCCTTGCAAAGCTGAAGAATGATTAGAGGTATAAGTCCCACTTCATTTGGCTAAAATTTTCACCTTACTTTATTTTTTCATTAACAAAACAAATCTATTGACTGTAATTCACATAAGGGAATAAAAGACAACCCAAAAGAGAGAAAGTGATATATACTGGTTCACAAAGCTATCAGTAATTCCCTTAACAGTGTCCTGTGAAGCAGGGGATGGTGGCACATGCTGTAATCCCAGCTCTCTGGGAGGCTGAGTCAAGAAGATTTCAAGTTTGAGTCCAGCCTGGGTAACTTCGAACCTGTCTAGTAACATAGCATAACATATAAAATAAAAGGACAGGGGCTATATAGTTCAGCGTGAATACCCTGGATTCAATCCCTAGTACTGTAAGAAACAAAATATCCTGTGTAGCTCTGAATAGTCTTGGCCAAGGGTACTTATAATGATAGTAGCAGTATGAAATCAGTTTGTGGGTATGTTTATTGTGAATATATTCACCCAAACAGAATAAAACATTTAAAGAATTTAGCATTTTAGAGAATGGTGATAATTATATACATGATGAGTTAATGTGAAAAATTTAGGACTTATCATATTATTACTCCTTTGTAAAAGTGTAATAGTTTTCTCAAATCAAGTGTTTTAGCTTTTCACATATACACAAAATACAGAACTGAAGAGAATAAATGAAATACAACTCACGTTTGCACTGTAAGTTCAGTGTCAAATGTTAGAGTAGTTCCAGTGTTAACCAGAAATACATATAACTTCATGATTTCTCTGGATTCTGTGAGCTTAAGCCTCACCTTCTGATAGTTCCTAAAAGAACAAAAGAAAAAAGAAAAAAAAAAAAAAGATCAGCTGGTCATGGCAGAGCATCCTTGCTATCCCAGCAGCATTCAGGAGCCTGGAGTAGGAGGCTGAAGAGTTCTTGGTCAGCCTAGGCTGCATAAGTTCCAGGCCAGCCTGAACTAAAGAGCAAGACCTTCTCTTGGGGCAGTGGTGTAAGGGCCACTGGGGACACACACACACACACACACACACACACACACACACACACAGGCACAAAAAGTGATCAATTTTTTTGGTACCGGGGATTGAACTCAGGCCCTTGCACTTGCAGGGTTGGTGGCAGAACCAGAGCTAGATCCCCAGCCCAAAAAGTGATCATTTTTTTTTTTTTAAAGTGATCAATTTTTACAAGTGTAAATCATCAAGACACAGCTAAGTCTTGTCATGTAAATAAAAATTAAAATGAGTTTTGAGGCCTAGAATTACTGAATGGATGATCTATCTGGTAAGCTCTACGCTTACAAACAGTGATGAGATTAGTGAAAAGTATAATTATTTTCCCTCGAAAAAAATAAAACTTTTCAGAAAAATAAGAGACCAGATATTACAGGGGTAAAGCTGATGTGAAGATTTTAGTTTTTCACAGTAAGAATAAAATGCTTGAGGCAGGCAGATGTAAAGGCACATGCTACTTCGGAGTCTGAGGCAGGAGGATCACAAGTGCACGCCCAACCTGGGCAATTTAGCAACTTAAGTCCTTAACCACTTCTTTCCAAGAGTTAGAAGTAGATTAGTCTTTAGGTTAAACTTAAGAGCAAATAAAAATAATTATTACATTACTTTTCCAAGTTAGGGGGAAGTAAGTCCCAATTCCTTCTAGCAGCTGCCTCCACCATCATACTGAGCCAGAAATGTTCCAGAAGTAACTCTCACTCCCCCAAAAATACAAAAGCAAAAACATAAATCCTTTGGCCCTAACAGTTGTCACTTTATATACAATAGCACAAAGTACATGGGCCTAGAAATGAGAATATTGTCCACATTAAAAGCTCATGTGTAACATAAAGCTTTCTCATCTAAAACATATAATGGCATTGCTCGGCCTGGTGCACACCTGTAATCCCAGCACTTGGGAGGTTAAGGCAGGAGGATCACCATGAGTTCAAGGCCAGCCTGAACTAGGTAGCAAGACCCTGACTTAAAAAAAAATTTTTTTTTAATTTAAAAAAAAAAAAAAAAAAGGTCGGGTATATATAAAAGGAACCGATTTCATGATCTAGTATTGTGGCAGCAAACCTATAGTATGCTGGCCATAGCGGGCTATCTGTGTCACTGAAAGCTCTACAAGGCTCACCATCACTGATGCAGCATTTTATTTTTAACAAATGAGTGGTTGAAATTCCACTGATTAATGAAAGTGGTGGAAGGCAACCATAAATCCTCACAAACTGGTAGGTATTGTTCTTCATGTTCTTTCCAAATGAGTCTTATAGAGTTTAAATTATTGTATCAGAAAAAGGCAAAAATAGTATGCTCAGTAGTGCCTGCCTCGCAAGCACAAGGTGCAGGGTTCAATCTCTGCTATTGCAGGGGAAAAAAAAGTTAGGATTTTGAAATTAAGTTTCCAAAATCATTATTTTAAATGCATTAGATAAAAAAAACTTAGTTATAAAGGTAGGAGCTGTGACTTACAGTCTGGCACTATGACTTACCGTCAGGCACTGTGAAAAGCACTACCACTTTTCCTAAAAAGCAGATCAGAACTGGCTTATATTTGCTTTGCTTGATATTGGCAACTGAATGGCATTACTGGTTAAACTCGGAGAACTGGAAAAGAAAAAGTTCTGAATTACCACATGGAGAAACAATTCAATATGTAACAACAACAACACAAAGCCATCATATGTTCTCCCCTTTAAAATAACCATCTTAAAGAGTACTCTCAACTCAGTTCCTTTTCCTACCTGCATATGCACTGAGACCACAACCATGACTCTGAACCACATCATTCCACTAAATAACAAAAATCACTAATGAACTACCCCAAACTACTATTTCTACAGCCATTTCTCGGTCCTTAATATATAATGATGAAGAAGAACCCAAGCTGTGGAAAGAACAGCTTGGATTTGGGCCTGACCTCAATGCTTGCAATTATGTAATTCAGAACGAGTTACTTAACTATTTTCAGTTTCCTCTTCTGTAAGCAGGAATAAAAGGGGTACCTATAGCAGACAGCCTCTAAGATAGCACCGATTATCCATGCTACCTCTATTTCCTGACATCTACTCTAGTAAAATACATTCCTTCAAGGTTTAGGCCAGGCCTGTAATGTTTCTAATCAATAAAATATAAAAAAGTGACGGGATGTCATGACCATGACTGTAAATCAAGATTTAACTTTCACCCTGCCCGCGAACTTTGGTAAGTAAATGGCCATACAGAGACTTATGCTTGGTAAGAATGTTGAGGTGGCTACCAAGAATCTAAGAATCTCAATCTGACAATCAACAAGGAACTAATCTTGACACAACTACATGAGCCAATGAGCAGATCCTTCCCCAGTTGAGGGGACAATGACCCTGAGTAAGACCCTGATAGGTCTTGTGAGAGACCCTGAAGCAGAAAATCCACCCAAGTCATGCCAAGAATCTCTATAATAGTATTTATATGGCTTCCAGTTTATGGCAATTTCTGACTCAGCAACAGATAAGTAATATAACACAGCCATATCATATTATAAAAATGTGAAAGAAAAATTTTCATTGGAACATGATGGTTGGCAGGTAAGAAGCCAATTCTTCAATGTTTGGGTGAGAGTTCAGGCTTTGTTACTTCTGTACAGTAGAACTCACCTACTCCCATGGCTGCAGCTACCACCACCGGTATTATTAAGTACTTACTTAAAACCTAGCCTAAATTTTTCCTAAATTGTCCATACAATCCCTCTGAAATTCGAGTCCAAGTTGATTTCCTATATGCATTTCTTCGATCTTGTGTCCAACACTGAACTCCTTACCTTCTCTGTTCCCTAAATCTCCTTTTCATTTCTCTGGGTGGATGGAATCTACATTTACTCAAGATATACCACATCCAGGGCTGGGGATTTAGCTCAATGGTTCTGCTGCCTCCCTTGCAAATGCAAAGTCCTGAGTTCAATACCCGGTACCAAAAGCAAAAAAAAAAATACCACATGCTATCCTAACTCTCCTAACAGAGAGAATCATCAGCAAGTCTGTCCTGTCAATTCTAACCCTAAGATGTTTACTATCTATCTCTAATTTTATTGCTAACCTTAAGTCAGACTCATTTTCTAACCTGTAGCTTTTTACAACAGCTTCTCAACCTGCTCCATATCTCTTCAATTCCTACTCAACCATCCTCAACACTGCATTCAAAGAGGTCATTGTAAATGCTAGTCAATCTTTTTCTGCTGCTTAAATGTCACAATTATGATTTTTATGGATGCAGCTACCATTTTGTGAGTATTTACGACAGCTTAGGAAACCATCCTATATGCTTTCTTAAATGAAATGCTTTCATTTGTTCCTCATAAGACTCCTTTAGACAGGACTGTCATTTTATAATAAGGAAGGGAATTAAGAAGTTAATGTTACAGGTGATTGACTGATGATTCAAACCTGGGCATTCCAACGCTGCTACTTCTTGCTTTTAACAGCGATAATGTCAGCACTTGAGAGGCTGGGGGTATAGCTTGATAGCTTGTCCTTGCCTAGCATGCATGAAGCCCTGGGTTGAATCAATAATACATATGCACGCACACTCCAAAACAAAGCACCTGAGAAAAGCACGTTGTATGTAGTAGACAATTTTTGCTTTTAGCTTTAGTTAAAAAAAAGAAAATAATATATCTATCTGCCTGTTCTTGTGAAGCCCAACAGGGAGCAGCACAGAAATTTTATATTTATATAATATAAATGATACCTACTGCTTTAAAAAGCTACCAGAAATATTTTAGGTAAAAACAAAAACTTCAAAATATGCACAGGAGGTGCATGATTGCTCTTGTGAGAAAGGTTTGTCTTATTCCCATCATTCAAATGACAAAATGTGCCTCAAAGAAGTTATTTCTCATAGTCAGTGTTAAAATCCATGGCTAAGATAAAGGAGAAAAAAAAATGAACGTACTACTAAAACATCAAGATCCTGTCCATGTGATTAATTAGTAAGTACATTCTATGACTCAGCATTTTTCTGTTCCTTTAGAATGCAAACATTTTTTTTTCCACAATTTACTCCTTATGTGACCATTTAAAAATATCTATCTTAAAAAAAAAATCTATCTTCTTCCAAACACAGTTAAAAAAAATATTAGGGGCAAAAATGGCAGAACATATGAAAATATGATATGTCATTGGCTTTTCAGTGGGCTTGATGGCACATGCCTGTAATTCCAGCACTCGGGAGACTGAGGCAGGAGGATTGCCAGGAGTTGAGGCCAGCCTGGGATACAGAGTGAGAATCTGTCTTAACAGCAACAACATCACTAATCAGAAATAAAATGGATCTAAATTCAGGAAGTACTAGATTTCCATGGGTCCATAAATGTAAAAAGGTGCGTCTTGGCATAAGATTAGAAATTCTTCTATATTTGATCAACCTGGCAAGTGGAATGTGTATACTGAAAATATCACAGCAAATGTCAGGTACATGGGCTGGTCACATGGCTCAGTGGTAGAGTATTTGCCTGGGTTCAATTCCCATCACCACCAAACAACAACAAAAAAAATTAAATGTACAGAGGAGAACCAATCTATGGTATTGAAGAAAAGGGTGATTGTGAAACTGAAAAGTACCTCTCAATTTGCACCTTTGTCCGCCTCAATTCCAATGATCCCTTTGCTGCCCCAGGACCAGCAACAAAGGTTACTCCACTGCTATGGATGAAAACTCCAGGGCAGCAAGAAGCAGAATCTGGGCACTAGAGTGGAAGAACCAATAAATTGCCTGGCAAAACCAACCAACCAAACAAACAAACAAATTGCCTGACTTCCCCTTGCAATTTC